CGCTTGAGTGGGGCAACTCAGAATAATAACGTGCTGGATTAGTGTGATCCTAGTTCATTTTATTACTTAATTGCTGTGCTGTATGTGTATAGGACAATGCCTTGGCTGGCGCTCAAGCAGAAAGTTTCTTGGGCCCAAGTGGCTCCGGCAGCTAACGAAGGGGGGAGGAGTCTGGTGATGTCACGAACATCGACATCACCAGACTCCTCCCGTTCCCTTCGTTAGGCGACGACACCACTTACACTTTGCATTGTGAATGGAAAACCAGATCACCCAGGGGGGAAACCTCAAAAACATATAAAAATAACATTACGGTAGGAACCAAATGGGGGTGTGTGCCAATGTGCTACCCCAATACAAAAAAATACACTGTTTGCCTGGGGCTCCAGTTTAACTTAAAAGCATGACAGTGTTGGTAATAAAATATTAAAAACCCCAAAAGATTACTTTGTGTCAGACTAATCTTGTCTCAGATTCATGATATGCCCAGACAGCAGGGATTGAAGACAGAAGCAAGTCATGCTAAGGGACAGGTTACACAGCATGAAAACCTTGCTCAACTCCAGTAACCCAGGGTATCAGCAGATGTAAGCAGAACACCAGATCCCCTGAACGTCAAAGCAAGGTCTCTGTAGTTCATGTGGCTGCCTAGTATGTTTGTGTATCAATAACTCCAACAATTTGACTAAGGAGAAGTTTGTTACAAAAATGCTAAATATGAAATGAATTGGGCTACCTTGTCAACCAAAACAAACTAAGCAGCTTCACAGCTCCTTTTTCTTTTAACGAACCAGCTGCCCTGGATGCCAAGAACCCATTTGGATGATTTCATTGCAACTCTGCCACTAAATGATTTGGAGTGCTATGCAAATCTTTTAGGCTGGGTAGATGCCTTATGGATGTTAATTTAGAACTTATAAATGTATAGAAAGCACCGTATGGGAAAGGCTCTAATCCTGCACTCCAGACTGTTGTGCCTTGTTGACACGCTATGAAATCATGAAGCACTTCACGTTGCAGAAAAAAATTATTTCCTGCAAACTGACAGATGCTGATAATTATCCAGCGTGAATGGGCAAAGTAAGAGTATGTGCTGACGCTTCTTTCTGTAGCTTAGAAATAAAAGAACATTGGGTTAATGGTAGTATTATTACGGTAACAAAGGCAGAACTGACCCGATTCTGGATGAAGAGATTAAACTTGTGTTCTGCTACTAACAGAGGGGTGTAACTAGAAAAGGGCATCAAGGGCAGCTGTCCAGAGGAGAAAATGTCACAACAAAGAAGCGCCAAGCTCAATCTAAACCCTACTTATGATAGAGAAACTTTAAAATGTATTATTTTCATGAAGGAATAAGAAAAAAAACCTGCATCTTATGCCAGGTAAGAGGATCAATAGAGGAGCAAAATACCACTGACACCCGCGAAAATTGGTGATACTCTAATTTGCACGATAAGAGATCACCATGATCAGAATGTCTTGGGGATGCAATAAGGTGACACCATTATTGCCAAATTTGCCATTTGGATGAAAACAAAACCACTGGATGAATTGTGACTTGGGGAACAAAAACAAATGACATAGCAAAAAAAAAAAGATGCAAAAACATTTTTGTTGCTGAAATGTTGATTGTTAGCTGAAGTTCCATTAAAAAATGTCTGAGGTCTATGCTAAGGCTGACAAGTGACTGTGACTAGAAGGATCGTCATTAACCCGTGGAATATTACACGTCCATGCAACAGCCGCACGGAATACATAAATTGGATGCAATATAACAAGAATGAAGGTGTGGTCTGTCACTTGCTTTGGGAACAGTTACAAACTGCATGTCTGAGACCATTGTGTAAGTTGAAAACGTATATGATGCATATTCATATGATGATGTGATTTTCTTTGTCAGTTTTTTCCTAAATCACCTACTAAAAGTGAACCATTAAAAAACCATTAAAAGACGTTCACAACCTCCACTCCAAAAGGAAATTTGGCCACACACCAATGTTTGCTGGAAAAACTCTTTATTGGAGCTCATTCAGCATCACCAAGTCCCGCCTTAGGTCTGCCCCTCTCTGATGTGTTTCCCCCAATCAGGGGCTTAATGGTAGGGATTGGTACAAGACATTGCTATAGCACATCATAGCCTACATTACTTATAATATTCCCCTACATCTTGCCTTGGCAAGAGATTTTACTATCTGCCAAGCACACCGAAAGTCAGGGGTGTATTGAGCACCAGGCACTGAATCCACACTGAACTGCTGGGGTTGCCTTAAGCTGTTCCATCAACATTCCCCAAGAGCATAGTCAACATCCCACCTCTCAAATCAATACCAGGGCAAGCCGACAGGTCAGACAGGTACCAAAGCAAAGATCTGTGGGATGAAGGTCATTACTATACTTTCCCTGCTGGGAACCCCACCTTTCTAGACATTTAAGATATATTTATTTGATCTGAAAATAACCTAAATAAAATACAATAAGTCATAAATTTAAAAGTTGATTAACAATGGTTATTTAATCAATTTATATTACGATTGGTTTTCCAGCACACAAATAGATATTTGTTTCCCACCAGGGAGAAACGACTCCTACCTGTGCCTCCTCATCAGGGTTACCACTTGCCCCATATTTGACCAGCTTGGCCATTCAACACAAAAGCAGTTGCCAATGTTATTAGAAAACTGTTAATAAGGCCAGTATTTGTTCCCCCAAAATGTGGTAACTGTATTCACCACCTATCACATGAGTGCATCAGGGGGGTTCTATTTTTCTATACTATTGCTTCACATCTGTGTTTACAATTTATGAAGAACTTTATATGAAAACAATCATACGAATACAAGAGAAATCTAAGTTTTACAAAAAGGTGTTTTTTTTGGTACTTAAAGAGCAAATACAAAAAATGTAGGTTCATTTTATCAACTCTTTTCTGAAAGTTAACTCTGGACAAATACAATTATAACCCTTGCAGTAGGGCTACCCCACATTGCAAGGGTTCCGTGCTTGCTTTGACTAGGGAGCTAAAATAACAGAGTAATACTCGCCTGAGCCTCGATCCCAGCTGGCTCCTAGACCGATCCATGCAGCAGTGCCCACTTCTCTGCTCCAGCAATAGAATGTCCCTCGGCTTCCTAACATCCTATACACTGTATAGGACGTGATGACTCACTGGACCTTAGACCGCTGAAGTGGAGGCGGAAGGGAAGCTGAAGAGACTGGTCCCAAAGCCAGCCGGGATCATGGTTTGCATGAGTATAACTGTTATTTCAGCTACCTAGAAAGTGAGCGCTTAACCCTTAAAAGCGACCACTTAATTCCAGAGTTCTTCTTTAACAAGCTATGTTCCACTTCAAATCAAAGAAAATGCATGCAAAAATTAAACAGGGTGTAACAGCCAAATATTTAAATATTTTTATCGTGATGTAAACATTATTTAAAACTTTTTTCTTTGCATAAAAACTTTGGATACTTGCCAACGCTTTTTGGTTCTCAAAGAAACCATTTAACGGTGTTACAGTCAAAATATTGACTTGTCACCAAGCACAGAGAGATGTGGCTAGAGCATCAATCAAACCACTACAGTCCGCTGGCGACTGACGTGACTAGACTGCTCAGCCGCATCAGCTAAAATGCAGGCTTTCAAGTAAAAGTTTTCAGACACAACGTAGCACAGACAATTCTGCACACTATGACTGTTAAAAGGGATCCTATAAACTTTTTAGGGTCGCCTAAGGAAAGGAATCTGAAAGTGGTCGTATACATAGAGTAGACAGAAGAAATAGTTGTTCACAAAAGCTAATGAGCAGATATAAATGGCCTAACAAAGCATGAGTATCGGCTGTTTAAGGTTATCCTTGGGAGTGATCATCTGCAACATCAGAAGTACTTATTGGAAGATCTTTACACAATTATTATTATACAGGATTTATATAGCGCCAACAGTTTGTGCAGCGCTTTACACAATGGGGATGATCCTGTCCTTTTCTCAATTTGAAGAGGGAAGGCTGTTCTCAAGGGAAACCTATGTAGAGGCTTTCGTTGCCGTTACAATTGTCATAGAAACAGAAGATGAGGGGAACTGTGGCAATGAAGAACTTGTTCCAGTGACATCCAAGAGAAGATTTCCCTCATTTTGGAGACTAATTCCCATTGTATCTCTGGGACAACAAGGCAATGGTAAACCTCCCCCACCAGGACACAAAAAACCCTGAAAAGTGGTTCTAACCATTCCTTGCTTTGTCTGAAGCTACTAGGCCATAGTGACATAGGGAAGTAGTGTTTTCACAAGGGGAGTTCAGCAATGGCAGCCTCCTTACTTTTTCAGTACAGGCTTCTTACTGTTAGGGAAGTCACGTGAGAAACAGCAGGGAGTCAACTGCACATCTTCAGTCAGCTATATACTAAAGCAAAAAATATACTGTTCGGCATGTTTCAGTGCACTCAATTACTGTAAACATGACAGGAACCATGTGGATTAGAAGAGAACAGAATGGCTGTTATCATAGCCGTCACAGTCATTTATTAAGTTCATTTCCAGCACCTGTACCATAAATCTATTTTACTAGGACGACAGTAAAAGGACAGAGTGTGCAAGTCCATCTATATATACAAAATGTCACATATCCTGTTTTAGTACTGGCAAAAGAAAGGCATTGAATCCATAGTTTTCATTTTAAAGCTAGATCATAAAACTGGAGTGAAGTAAAAACAACTTTCGAATATTATAGGATTAGCTTTTCCATACCTGCTGATCTCCAGGGAAATGACTTTTCGGTAGAGCTGGAAGGGAAGAAAGAGAAAAGACTTTTAATGAAAACTTTAACTACTGTGCATTGCCCTCTTGTGCACAGCAAGAAAATGAAGCTGGGAAGAGGGGGCAGGTAAAAAGTCATATAGAAAAATATCATGAGGCCGATTTATAAAAATTGGAGACAAAGTGTTGCAGTGGCAACAAAATATATTCTATGACTCACTCTTTTAGGTGGGAGTAGACAACACAACCTACAAATCGTTACAGTAATTATCTGCTAGGTTAACTCCAATTTGTACAATTCAGCCCTAAAATACCAACTTTTGTCTACCTAGATGACGACATCTCATGTTTCCAATACATTAAAAGTGAACTTGACTTTAAAAGAACACCTTCACATTGCTCCCCACTCCCCTCAGTACAAACCACATACCAAAGTACTTACCCTTCTGCCCAGCACCACACAGCCTTTGCAGAAAAAGTCAGATGTTTTGTGCATGTATACCAATCGCTCTATTCAGTGCTATGGCAAGGTACTCTGGAAGGCTGGGGCCGCCATGAGTACAGGCTCCATCCTTGGGAATGAAAAGAGCAAGCAATCCGCATGCACAGTAGTTGCACTTCTATTTTATTTTTTGCAAAGGCTGTGCATCAATGGGACTCAACAGTCCACTCCACAGACCTACACGGGGGAGGGGGGAGAGGGATCTTAAGAACAACTTCACTAAAACTGAAGTCGTCCTTAATTTTGCCTATTAACACAGATTTAGTTGCTTTCATTTTTTTTTAGTGCAGTTTGCCTTTACTAACGCATCCCCTTTAGCCACTTGACAGTCACAAAATATTGCAGACGAGAGGAATTGTGCCCAATGCAAAGTTCAAAATCCGAGAAATCTCACAATTTAGGGGCTGGGAAATTACAAGTTTTACGAGGTTTAGTCAAGCAAGGCATCCAGGGACTCCTAAAACAGCATTTGGAATCAGGTTGTTTTTGATGACAGAAAACGCAACACAATTAGCATAAAACAACCAAGATTTCCAGATGCTAATAAAAATCCCATATGGAGCTTGTTAAAATGACAATAATTACCATGTATATTTGTCTGGGTCCATCGAGAAATATTATACACACACCAAAGGTTACCAGGGAGCACATCTAAGGGACATAGCTCAGATCCTTGGCAATCACACAAGTACAACCATTTCTATGGCAGTGATCATAACTCCACTTTGCATTCAGGACTTCAGGGAATCAGACTATCTATAATCCACAGTTAACTTTAACAAAAATTGGGCTGACTGCCTTTACTCTACATGGCAACCGCTTACTGAAGAAAAGCAGCAGACCATTTAACAGGATCAACATGTGGTATTTGCCAAAACAAAGCATTGAGAAGTCCTAGTTTTTTCTAATCAGGATTAAAGTTAAATATGTAAACTCAGCTAAAATCTACCATAAGCTTTAACAGGTTAATCCTTTTTTCAAAATCATTTATAATATTTTCAACTATGCAGCTTTTTTTTTTTTTTTTTAAACTACTACTTGGTGATCCTGCGTAAAAGTTACTTTCTCAGACACTTCCTGCTACAACTTCTCAACTGTTCTCCCAACTGAGCTCCTGTATGGCCACCCTGTCATAAGGTCTTCTAATACTACAAATGACCATTACAACACAGATTAACCACTGTTGTCACCATTCTGAAATCTGCCTCAAGAAATGCCATGCAGCCAACGTTGGAGTGCATGTAGATATGAAATAACTGAAAAGCTTGCAGGAGATCAGCAGCATTGAGATGCAAAAGGGTTAAAAAGGTGAAAACGGGTATTTCCAAAAGAAATGTGAATTGTTTTTGATACACGGGGCTTTAGTTAAAAAATGTATATTCAGTTAGGGTTTACATCTACTTAGACAAAATATTTTAACCCAATTTCTTACTTATTGATTACAACCAATGCTGACACTGCTGAATTACTATTTAGCAGGTTTACGCTTCCTCTGAGCGCGGGTTGGCCGATGCTCTCTAGTGAAAGCCCCGGCAGTAGTTGGGATGTGCAGGAAGTGCAGGCTCTACTTGGCTGCATCTGAACAAGTCCAGAGGAAGCAAATTGAAAATATAGGCTGGAGGAGTCTGAACTTGCTAAAAGTTTAATATTTCAGCAGTGGTAGCACTAGCTTCTGTTAGGGAGCAGTGGGTGAGGGGTTAGCTACAGCCTGGTCACAACGTTCTAAAGAGCTGCGTAGCAGTTTGGCCAGGGGTAGACAACCTCTTCAACCCAGCTGTTGAACTACAAGTCCCACAATGCAATGCAAGACTGACAGCCACGACTCCCAGAGGCATGATAGGATTTTTAGTTTGACCGCAGCTCGAGTTGCCACGTTGTCTACCCCTGAGTTAGACCATCAAACACGTTTCCCAGTATGGGTGCACATGAAAATACTGTAGGCCATAAAGGATATTTAAACCCTCAGGGTGTTTTGCCTATATCTTTTGCTAGCAAGCAGTGGATGTATGCAAAAACATTTTTAAAAAAAGTAACAAAAAAGGTTTAAAAACTTACCTGTGTCTCCGCCACGCGCTTCTGTCCAAAGATCTGAAAAATCTCGGGCAGCCGCAAAGGATCATGGGGCGAGCACATGCACAGTACAGATCTTTGGCCAGGAGACGAGGAGAGACACACGGTAAGTCAATAGAGGCAACGTGCTCCCGCACAGACTCTGTGGGTCACGCAGCATCAGGAAAAGAAAGAGAAGTTAGGGTTTAGATATCCTTTAATGTGACTTTAAGAACAAAATGCACTAACACCTTTAGAAGTGTCTACCTCTTCTACCCTACTTCCTTTACCGTGCAACACTTGTCTCCAAGCACAAGTGCTCCTTAATACGTCTGCATGGAGATATTCTTTAAACACAAAGTTTCTATACAAACTTCAATTCAATATATCTACAGTGTAAAAATGATTCTAAGAGATTATGTTTTATTGGTTATCAACTCCAAATACATTTTAAAGCATTTCTCCCATTTTTACTGCCAAATAAAAGTGTGTTTGCAATGAGCAGCCTCACTGTGCTTGGAATGTGCCTGAAACCCACAAATTGCTGATATTCAACCTTAAATATAAAACTGGAGATCCCTGTTCTCAGAGAATAATGCTTAAACTCACCCCTTCCCCATTCACACCATCCCTGACAGCACAGAATAAAAGATACTGATCCATCAATAAAAATTCCAGTCACCAAGTTACTTCCTCGCCGAGATTAAACATTAAACCCGCGCACAATAGGCGTTTGTGCCTGCCAGGCTCGCCAGGGGACGTTTGCCTTATTCCTGTGCCAATAAATGACACGTTCAGGGTTGGCACCATTTCCTTAGTGAGGTTTGGGCGCAGGGTTCAGAGCCATATTTCTCTGGGGTGATCTCAGGGTGTTTTCAAACCTATAAAAAAATTGTCGTCTAATGGAAACGTGGGATAGAGTTTTAGAATGAGTGTATAGACAAAAAAAAAAAAACGCAAAAAAACCCCCAGTACATCTGGCCATAAACATTCACCCATATTTCCTTCCTCTACGCTCCTTAAAATGCTCACAAGGTGTTCACAAAGCTTTTGCTTTTTACAAATTCTGCTATACAATCACATGCTTCAGAGAAAAGGATGGTTTTCATAGATGGCATTTGAAACCTTTTCTGTGGTCATTTCAATAAAATCCCCTCAATCCCCTGTAAAGACATAAATGTGTCAATACTCAACAGTTACTACATGAGCAAACAAATAAGATATAGTAAATATAATAAATATGGGGATCGTGGGGGAAGGCAGAACACTTGGCCCTATGGAGAAATACTGTGGGGCAGCAGTTTTTTTGCAAGTGCAATAAATTATTTTGTGGAACCAGTCCATTGTCCTGCTAGAAAGGGACTTACCAAGTATATGTAAATTAGTCTGTGAAGGTTCTCCAGGTCATGGTATATCTGTAAAAAATAAGTCAAGGCAACTGGACTTGCTGTATTTTTCAGCTTTCTCAATTCAATATTCCCAGATAATTTTTTGTACAAGTCATTCTGAATTGAGAAAGCTGGTTGGATGTCCAGTGAAACGTCTTCAAGAAAAACACAGCAAGCCCAGTTGCCTTGACTTATTTTTTACAGATATATGTAAATGATATTCTTTTCAGTATGTTTCACACCATGCCTCATTGTTTTCAGTTTTCTTAAGCAAAGGGTTTTTGAGAATCTGTGGAAAAGGTTCTTTACGTGGAGATGCTGCCAGTAACAGCACCTTCTTTTTAGGTTCACACATGGGCGACTCCTGACCGTGCGGCAATTGTGTACAAAACCGCGTGGATTGCCACACGGTCACAGTCGCCCACCACAGCCGATCGCGCAGGAGGTGCTATTTTCTAATGGCACCCCAGTTGCACAAGGTGGATTCCGCCTGTGGCTAAAAAAAGCCATGCATCGAGTGTACATGTACTTGTACCTTTTTTAGTGATTGCCGCACGGATGTAACCCCATTGAAATCAATGGGGCTACCTTGCAACCACTGTGTGCACACGCGTCTCAGATGTCGCTTAGGTCTGAAACTAGCCTAAAGTTAGGTCACTGCCTCACGATCAGGGACAATGCTAGCCTGCTATGCAAGCTCGTTCAGTTGGCTCTTGGTCTGCTTATTTGACATGTATCTTATTTGTGTATCACTTGGCTGTAGATCCTCAAATCACCTCTGAATTGGTGCTGACACTGTCCTTCAGGGTGGCTACTCCCTCATGCTCCGTGTGTGTTGTAAAGTAGCCACCGCTCGAAGCTCGCTCCTGTGATGGACTACAATCTCAATACAAATTAGTACATTTTTAAGTGTTCGGGACGCCTTAAACTATTTTTCAAAACTCTTTGCTTGGATTTCAAACGTATACACTTGATACAGAAAGCCCCCCACCCAAAAAAAATCTAATTATGTTTTTGTGCTTGGTGCATTGCTTTTTCCAGAAGTAGAATGAAATTCCAGGCATTGCCAAACCCACCATTCTCTGAC